CCTATCACACAATTGTCTCTTATGGGCACGTCTTTAATATGTGTCAAAGCAGATATGATACAATGTAGGATCTTATATAAGGATATCTGACTTGGTTGCTTATGTAAGAGGATCTCCTTACATAACACTTAAACATGTGAGATGTTGAGTTCTCTAGGTGTGTGTGTACACAGCCTTTCTGAGGCGCAGGTGTTTTACTTTTAAAATGGAGTTTTTTCTTATGCGATTAAAGATACATATGACCTCAAACTATTGATATGTAAACTCGACCGCTTGTTACAAGAAGATTATACATAATTTATTCCCGCGCCTTACGCATTCGGTTCTGAATGTGCAAGGCTACACCATACTGTACTCCGAATTTTCTTCGAGAATATGATGTAATCAAATTTTGTAATGCGTAGAGCAGGTTAAGTTTAAGAAAAGTGGGTCTCCTTGCAGTGGATAAACCGCAAAACTCACAAGTCTGTTTTCTTCGAATTCGTCGAAGAACAAAAGTTTAAGTTTAAATGCAGCACCTAAAATACACACATCTTGTCGTGCGTCTTGATGCTAGTAGGAATGACTTGCATATCCCATTAAGAGAATAAATGTTAGTTAGTGCTGTTGATCCGATGACTCATCCTTTTACTGTCAATTTTTATACGGTGTCCTCTCTCAACTTCCCTACATACATTTGGCTCATTAAAGAAGTGTGTTCTAACGGTAAGACTGGCTCCGATCGCTCAATGAGATCGAAGTGCCTATATATTGCAAACTTTGAAGGAAGTTTGGTTAACACAAATTTTGTTTTTTCTTGAAATGTTGATTTTTCAGAAACCTAGAAAACTTTTTAAATACCTTGCCACAGATTGTGGCCCAACAAAGGACAATGGAGAAAAATTTTTACGGACGCAACTATTCCTTGGGTGCCAAATGGGGTATTGAATATAATACCTTTTCCAGTGTTGAGGAATAATTCGTGGCAGGACTCTTAAAAAATACTACTATCGGTCCCAAAATAAAGAGCCTATTAATCGACTAAGCCGAGCATTGTGACAATAATTATTGATCATGCCGAAAAAGTGGTCCAGCAGAACACTAATGCTTTGAGGTTTTTCAAAAGGTTTCTGGAAAACTTTAAATCAATGCCCGGCTAAAATTCACCTTTTTCGTCTTCCGTTATGCTTTATTAGGTATTCTGAGCGTTTGCTGAAAATTTCCTTGAGTCAGCATGAGATTTGACCGAAATATAAGGATTTTAATTTTTGCTAGTAACAGACGAAAAACCGGTTTTTCACATAAATGCCCCTGGCGAAGTTATATCCATTTCTACACAAAAACAAATATTGCCACTGTGCTCAGCGTAGTCGATTACCTATATTCTATGAAATTTTGAGATTCCCAGAGATATCTGCTCGGAGACAGACACGTGCTTGGAGAAAGCGAGCCCTGTCCGAACAACGATAGCTAGAGAGCCGGGACTTGCATAATTTTGTAGAGTAACGTCTGGCCTATCGACCCGTGCAAAAAATTACTAATGTTGTATGTTAGTTTTCTGCGAACGGAGCTGGTTTTCCAAAGATCTTCTGAAAACCCGATCTTCGAAATTTTTCAAAAAGCTGTATCCGCTTGTGAAAAGTTTTGCTCAAGTCTTGGCTATCGAACAGCGAAAACCGCAAGTGTCTATCCTATCAAAAGTTATTCAGAAAATCCCCACCAGCACTGTATTTTGGGATGGATAGTACTTTAAAGTACACGAGTTGTACACGATATCGATCTATTTTTTAGAAAAAGATTTCTTTTAGTCTTTGAGAAATATGACTGTGAATATCGTTGATTATTAAAAAACCGAGTTTGCGAGACAAGCAAAAGAAGTCTCTGCAAATCGAGCAAGAAAACGCTTGGTTTTTTAGAGAATACTCAACTATATTCACAGCCATATTTCTCAAAGACTAAAAGGAATCCTTATCCAAAAAATAGATCGGTATCGTGTATAACTCGTGTACTTTAAACTAGTATAAAATAGGAAATGGATCTTCTCTAATTAGTGTAAGTGTAGCTGGCGAAGTTGGTGCAATATGAAATAGTTTTACAGTGAGCACCCCTTCCTTGAACATATAAAAGCTGAACATTTGATTAAAATATAAAATTTGTTCGTTTCTGATTTTACTCTTAAGCAGAAAAACAAAAAAATGTCTGCTCTTCTAATGATGTCTGTTAAAAACCGAATACATTGGAAGTATATATATATGCCAATGTATGCAGACGATGCCAAACAAGCTCTCTTCTTCTAACGTATTCTCTCGCATCCAATGTATTTTCTCCTGTGACAGAATACGTTTGAAATTATATGATTATAGAAACTAGAAATGTTTTTATTAGTCTTTCAAATAGGGTATGATAAAATATGTTTTGATCCACTTTTCGACCCGATGTTTGCAAGTTTTCATTACTTTCAAGAAAACAAGTAATAAGACTTAATTAATAGTTTTCAGGTACTGAACGAATTTCCTTCTTCTTCTAAACCACATTTGCTAGAACCGCATGCAATTCTCTACATACTCACACCAGTTTTAACTTTTAGTAGAATCTTTAGACCCTTGAATAATGAATTTTTCGTTCCATCTTTCCCATGCAAATTAGGGCTCTCTACCATCTACCAAAATCACGACTTTTAACGCGCTTTCTTTATTGCTAAAGAATTACTGAGAAACTTTGTAACGCAGGGAGGTTGACAGACTTGCACACGGGCTACAGTCTCACCCATTTGGTTCAATAAAGGTTTTTCTTCAATCTCTAGGAAAAATAAACTCCAAAACGTACGTTGCAGGAGCTTTTTCGCCGTCGTTTCGTTTCGACCTATTCTATACCTCAAAGTCAGTTGCAAAAATATTTTTTTATGCGTTTGCTCTTTCCAACGAAAAAATAATTAATTCTTTCTTATGTTATGAACACAAAAACAGATCAAATGTTTAGAAATCTGACTATGCTTTGTCTTGTCTGACATCATGTTCATTCCTATTCTTATGTTCTCTTTCCACTGTTATGTCCTGTACTATTTTTCATCATTTTCTCCTATGTTCAATTATACGTAGTTTTATCTGTAAATAGTTGCGGTTTCCAAGTGTATTTGTTCGTGCGATAATTCGGATTATCAGTTTATGACAAATAAAGTCAGAGAAACCATTAAAGCTTAGACTTGCATACGTAATACTTTTCAGCAGATTGGAAAAATGCAGACGTAATGTTCGCCCTTTGATGCAAGACTGCTGCACCATCTGTTAGTTTTATTGTCTCTGTTACTGGTATGCTTGGATACAAGCATTCAACGCTGAATTTCAGAGCTAAATCATCTTGTTCAAGTAATACAGATTACTTAGATTTTAAAAATGCGGCAAAACAATCTCAGACACACTTAAGAAACCACTTTCTTAAAAAGTACAAGCTAGAACCGAAAAATGTCATTGTCGATACCTCAAAGCTTTCCATAAACGCTTGGTGCTTCTCCATTGATACCGGCCTTAAGATGAAGAGACATGGTTTGTGCGCAAATAGATATAAGACAGCTCAACATTTACTTATATTTGTCGTTTTTTCTTATCATTATTCCATGCACTTGCAGGTTTTAATAAGTGACTATTATCTGCTTCATCCCAAATGGCTGGTTTTAACAGATGACTGTTATCAGCCTCATCCCAAATGGCTGGTTTTAATAGGTGACTGTTATCAGCCTCATCCCAAATGGCTGGTTTAAGCAAGTGACTGTTATCAGCCTCATCCCAAATGGCTGGTTTGAGCAAGTGACGGTTATCTGCTTCATCCCAGAGGGCTGGTTTTAATAGGTGACTGTTATCAGCCTCATCCCAAATTGCTTGTTTTAATAGGTGACTGTTATCAGCCTCATCCCAAATGGCTGGTTTTAGCAAGTGACTGTTATCAGCCTCATCCCAAATGGCTGGTTTTAATAGGTGACTGTTATCAGCCTCATCCCAAATGGCTGGTTTAAGCAAGTG